TAAACTGAGAACTCCCTCTGATTTACACACCTTTTCCATGCGTGAATTACAATTAGCTGCCTTGCTTCTTCGTCTTTTCCATCCTGCCGCCTTCAGTTAATTCACTTGTTGTAAGGACGCTGACGTAGACTCGATGGTTCCTGTGTTCTGATGAGGAAAAAAAAAAAAAAAGGTGACAGGGGAGTTTCCCCGACCTCATCCAAAGGGATCGAAACCGGGTTGCTAGGAGACTAATGGAAAGTCATGGGCCAAAAGAAATGGCAGCAGTGAGTCACTGACCGTGAGGGAAACTGCGTGAAGTCACGAAAGTCCAAAATTAGAAAAGAGAAACGAGACCAAATCTCAAACGAGATGGTGGAAAATAGCTTTTCTTTTTATACGCAGTAAAGTCTGCCTGGATTTCTCCCTGACAAGGCAGGTGCAACAATTTTATCAATCGATGCTGTGGGGGGGGAAAGCTTCAACAAATAAAAATTCAAGACGCATTTCATTCAAATGTATGATGAGGAATGTTGCTGCACTTATATGATCAAGTCAAATTTCTCCTTGTCATCACCAGGTCAGATAGATGACTTTGAATAGGATCCGTCTTTCCATCGCTCTCTCTTCTCTGGCTCGACCAAAGTGTTTCTGTATCCCTGCGGGTACACGCTGACATTAAACGGTGTAGTATTAGGTAACACCGGTGTGGGCGAGGGCCGGATGTTTTCCCCTTGGTCGGTTTAGCAACATCAGGTGATTCGCTTCTTGACATTTGCACTGAAAGGAAGAGGCTGTTTGTGTCCTGAGTGTCCTGCTCTCAAAACATCGGGATAGCACTTCCCAGTGCATCGAATTAGCTGAAAGAACGATGACGACAATTGTTTTTTTTTTTTCCTGCCTTGCAATGAAAGGATAATTCATCCATTTTCCGATCCGCTTATCCTCACAAGGGCCGCGAGGTGCGCTGCGCTCACACTCACACCCAACGACAATTTCGAGTGTTCAATCAGCCTGCCATGCATGTTTTTGGAACGTGGGAGGAAATCGGAGTACCCGGAGAAAACCCACGCAGGTACGGGGAGAACATGCAAACTCCACACAGGAAGACCAGAGCCGGAATCGAACCCTGCACCCCTGCACTGCGAGGCCGACGCGCCAACCAGTCGGTCACCGGGCTGCCCTGAAAGGACAATTATGTTACATAATTCCAACACACACAAGTACTACAAACGGCAGGGATCTCACGTACCCTGTTCTTGTGAGAGTTCAGGCAGATTTCATAGAAAATGGTCCATTTTGACAAAATGGACTCACCGCGATCTTCCAAGAACTCGCATCCATCTGCGAGTATTTTGGATTTCGCTGATGTAACCGGCCAGAGTACAGTTAATCAATATCAGTCTAAAAGGAGCAGCAATCAACCGAGGCTGCCTAATTGGAAGAGAATATAAACAACCGTGCAGCCATGTTTCTCTGGACTTTCAAGGAGGTTTTTGTCAGTGAATTCCAGGATGGGATTGGATTGAAAACAAATGTATGATCATCTGCATAAGTAAATATGGAGCGCAGATGGAGCCCATCCGGCCCCCCCTCATTATTGGGAGTGGGTGCAGGAACCAGAGCACTCTTGTTCCAGATTAACAGGATTTTTCCACATTAGTTTTAAAAATAGTGGATGAGTTTGAATCTGTGCAATCCAAGTCATTGAACGTGATGAATTACACTTGGCCAGCTGTAGCTCACGTACTTGTGTTCTAAAGCAAATTCCAAAAGAAATACATCCGGAAAAAAAAAAAAAATCAATTTACTGGTATTTTTGGTACGACTAATCAATGGAGCATAGGTGCAGTACACCCCATGTCTGTTCGTGTAAACTACACCTTGATTCAATTTGTTTCTTTTTACCCACTGAATGACCGACGTCTACATGATGTCAGGAAAGAAATAAACATTGGAATGGAACAAGGACAGGAAATCTTTCCACTCGTTAATAATGAAACAATACCATCGCATGATAATGGAATCCATCACGGGAATCAACGTAACAAGAAGCTGCGGGCACAGTCTTCCTAAACAGTCTCACACTTGTCTATTCGGTTACCTAAATTTGTTTTTAAAAGCTCTTTCTGGCTGTTTTTATAATTATGACACCCTTTCTGCCCCTCCCCCGCCCTGCCACTGTCAAACGGTTGCTTTTATCATCAGGAAAGGATTTACCGGGAGGTCTTGGAGGGCTCCAATGGACATTTGCAACACCTACACTTGTTTACACAAAGCCCATCTTCAGTTCGGGACATGGAAACTGCAGCTTTAGATCATTCTTAAAAGGGAACCGCAAGTGAAGTGGAAATGCAAAACGAAGCCACACACTCAATGGGGGCCCAAAACGCACTACGGTTGGGAGAACAATGAAATAAAATAATTCAACCCTCTTTCCGCTTGCGCATCCAACCCCCTTCATTTTTGGGGGGGTCTATTTATAAAGTCCATTTCTGCCCTGCAGTGTTTGAAGGTCTCATGAAGAAATGAGCGGTGCAGCTCGTGGCACGACGCCCTTGCGCCCAGCCACCCGTTCGGAATGATGTGACGAATAGCGAGACAGGAGACGACTCATTCATTTGTCAGACGCTAACTGTGCAAAGTGAACAATTCCGCCCACTGTTTTTGGATGCTTGTGAGATGTGACTGATTTTTGACTCTTTGGGGTTCTTTAGTACTTGAATCATGATCTCGGGTTGAAGATGCGCTTATGTAGCTTTACTTCTTCTTTAGTCTGGAGCCTCCTTCTCATATTATATAACGGAGGCTAAGTACCAAGAGTGTATTTTTCCATTCTACAATACTGGCTGTCTGATACGTGCGTACTCACTCCTGCCTTTGGTCAGTAATGGCTTTTCAACAAATCCTTCAAGGAAAGCATTTTTCTAAGAAGAGTAGGAGGTCAAAAATGTGTCAGGCAAGATCGTTATCATTTTCAAAACGACCATTCAGACCTGTTTTGTGAGTTAAGGTATACACTGTGCATGCCACTATTAAATTATTACACTTCTAATATTGCCATTCATTAAAAAAAAAAAAAAAAGAAGTAAAGCGCTGTAGTCAAACAAAAAATTGCATACTCAAAGCATTGAGATGACTTTAACCCTTTCAGGGAAAGCGGTTACAGCAGTGGACAACTTATCCTGTTTGGTATGAAGCCAGTCCTCCTTATTAGGCCGTTTAAGATTTTGACATCGTGAGACCAAGACGACGCCAAATAAGTGAACAACAGTACCTCGCCATTCCGAAGCTTCAAGCAGAATGTTCTTCGAGGGAAGCGGCCCCAGAGCTTTGAGTGGTGACATCCGCAGTCAGTTACAGAGTTGCGGAGAGACTGGAGGAGTCACAGAAAGGCATAGAAGAGGATGTTCTTGGAAATGGGGGAAAAAAATGTTAGAGAACAGTAAGTTGCCATTTACGTGTAAATCACTCCTTCCGTTTTGCCTCTTGGTAACTTGTTAACAGGCTCAAAATGATTCACAAATACCGAAGGAAACCTTGGATGGAAGATTTATTACTCACCACCATTCAGCACCATCTTTGTGATGGAAGATTGACTCAACACTGTTTTTTTTTTTTTGTACTGGGAGGGGGGCGTGTTGCGTCTCATATAAAACGCTCTTGCAAGGGGCTGCTCATTCCCAAACTTTTTGCATCTTCAAAATAGTGACGTTTCTTATTTCCATTCGCTGGTTGAGAACAATTCGGAGTTCCAAAAATACCCTCTGCCTCGAGCTGCGTCTTTTCATTGCAGCTCTCCGACTGTCATGATTTCTGCGCCTCTTTTGTGAAAACATACGGTCCTGTACTTCAAACACTACACACTAAAATATGTAACACTGGATAGTGGAATGATTTGTGGCCGAATGGAAAACAAGAGAAAGGCCAAGACGGTCTGGTTAGAGTTAAAACGATTGCATAACAGTGAGGCTCTGACAGGGAAACGGAAAAAGAGGATCCATCAAAAAGCTGCGGCCAACATCTACCGATGAAGCTCGGTGCACCTCGTCTGGCCGTATCGATTATTAGGGCCATGCGAGACCGGCCGTGGCGTGTCGCGAGGAGGCGTGCTTCCTGTTGGCCTAATGCTCGTGTGTTCTGCCGCGAAATGTCTCTTTCAAACATGAATGGGTGAAAAAAAAAATTGCTGCCACAATGTGTGAGGCAAGGGTGGGCAGCCTTTTTCAGTTTCAGTTTTTTCGCCCGTCTTCCGAGGCCTATACTACAGCTCGAGAAAATAGGAAGTGACAAGCATAAAATGGGTACGGTATTATATTTTCTTAGCAATAGTCGTTGAAACGTTTTGGGGCTTTCTTGTAACACTTCCTCTGAGATTTGATTGTGGCCCGAGTACCCGGCAGTGCAAAGGCCCTCTTGGAATCACTGTGTTTATTCTTCAAATGAATGAATGAATGAATGCCTTTCTTTGCCATTTCCCTGGAAAACATTTAAAAAAAAATAATAAATCACCGATGCCTATCATAACAGAATGGTTGAAAAATACTCAAGCACCCATGCCCAAAATGGAAAAGGAAATCTGACAATTTGGTTAGGTTTCAGGTGAATTCCAGGGCTCATGTTTTGACGAGCGACAACCAGGGAATTCATCCAAACGAGTTCCAATCAAAGAAAAGTTGATAGATGGGTGACCATAAATTTATTGTGGGTACAACGTGACGTAAAAGAATGATGATCATCTCAAGGGTGGGCCATGTCAAACGGGTTTCAAGGGCCACTTCATTGCCAATTGCCGCTTTGTCTTTTTCAAATTGAACAATTTCACAATTTATCGAGATGAGATTAGGAAAAAAAAAAAACTTTTTTTTTTTTTAAATCTAGGTGTTTACAAAAAAGGTGTGTAGGTGTACCTAATATTGTGACTGTTGAGTTGTAAGTCAGTAGCAAGGGCTAAAATACACTCGAGTCAAATGTGTTGAAATTTGCAAGCTCATAATTTGGTTTCACCGGCCTGCCCATAGTTTTTATTGACTTTGTTGTTGACTTGATCTTTTCATCTTTATTCTTATATGCTAGAAAGTAAGAGGCGGAAAATTCCAAAATAATTCCATGACTTCCATTCGTATGCGTCCAAATCTTTCTGATTAGAGCTTGACATATTCCAGAGCCTTGAGGAAGCAGATGCTGAATGAGTCATTTGGCTTTATCAAGGTGAGGTGAAGGAAGTGCTGTACTTTTTTTTTCTTTTTGGGGGGTTGGAGGGGGTGGGGTCGCTTGGGTCAGGTGACAGATTCCTTTGCACCACAAGAGAAAGTCCATGTTGCGATGTATTTGTTGCGGTTGGGGCTGAGCCAAAGTATCAGCATTTATCCGCAGCTGGGAGGAAATCCACATGTGCCGTGTTGCGGATGTACCCGACAATAGAACCACAGGGGGGATGAACAAGATGGAGGGTGTCAACTTTCAGTGTCAATACACAGTTAAATACGGAACTCAGGGCATTTTCTTTCAAGGAAACAGCACCCGAGGCCACGAGATGAAAACAAATATGTCGAAGTTGCGAAACAATGTAGTCAAGCAGGGGACCTCAATTCAAAGCGGCGTAGTCCAGCGGTATACAGTGACCATTGTACCTGGGAACTTCTTCACATCTGCGTTGGGTGCCGTCAATGTCCCATAGTCCCTCCATATGTCTTGATTTTGCCTGAGAAACAGCCAGCGGGATTTGTAGTTGATTGACTGAAACAGGTGAGCAAAAAGAAACGGCAAGTGAAAATCTGAGACCATCGACGCCAGAGCCAATCAGGGACGAATACAAGCCAATGCGTTTTCTTGCACGGTTGTCGATATACTCAGACGATCGGCGTTGACGTTATGCGCAATCGGCACCTGTCCTGACAGTTGGCGACATGACTGAACTCGCTCGGAGAATGTACAAGTTGTCTACTGGTATCATGAAGAAGAAAAAAAAAAAAAAAGAAGGAAAAATCGTCAGGTTTCATACCTTCCTGGTAGTTTCATCATCGAGGCGCCTGGTGGGGAAATAGGTTATTTGTAGATGAGGATGTGATCACTTTCCACCAGGGACTTGGCTCAAGCAGTCAGTGGAGCGCAGACCTCTGCCAAGGCCAAACACGTGTGTCCTGTCGATGGCGGAGCGCCAGCAGCTGTCTGTTGACCAGAGTTTTAGTGGTGATAAATGTTTGTCCTTGCTTTTTTTTTTTTTTAAATCCTGGATTTGTGATTTAGCAGGGTTGTATGTACGGTAACTCTCAAGTTCCCTGGAAATTGGAGATTGAAAGTACACCAAAAAAAAAAAAATCCTGTCCTCCAATGTCTTGTCATTGGTGGACAGTGAGACGTATTCGTTGGCGTGGTTAAAAAAACAAATCCGGATCGTCTCAATAACTTTGGGAAGCCGTTTGCATGACAATACGGTAAATGAGAGCAGAATAAGGAATGCCGGCATCTTGCGTATTCGTGCTAACTTGTTTGGCTTCACCAAAGTGATGCGACTGCTTGGAAGATGACACATTTGTTGTTTTTTTTTTTTGCGTAAAGGCTAAGAAGCCCTTCAGCTTCCAGTCATGTGAAACGACCCATGAACAGCATTTTCACCGTCTCTCCTTTTCAGTAAACCTCCCAAAAAAGACTTTTGTTCAAAGGAAACTGTGGCTCGTAAAAGTCTCCCATAAATTTCTCTTGAAAGATGTCCTATATTCCAAGAATAACACCGCCCCAGAAGCCCAACACAAATACCCTGTGGTTGAGCAACGTGCGTACGTTTCCTCCCCGCTTCGCTAACTTTTTGTGTTCAACACTTATATTCTTCTGCTGTGGCAACATCATAGGAAGAAGACCATTATCCGCCATGAGGCAGCCTGTGAGTCAACCATTATTCTAATGTACGCGGTACGGCATTGCGCGCTGACATCAAGCGCTTGATTCATTTCCGCTGAAGCGCTTCCTCCCTTGAGATGACACATTACGCTGCTCGATCACACGAGCCGCTAACGACTCACTGGTGGGAATCCAAGCACGAGGCGGGGGAAATAATTAGCCAGGAAAAAAAAAAAAAAAAAGGAATCCCACATGCCAATAAGGGTACAAATATTTTCAACGTTTGAAAAAAATATATATATTATTATGGAAGAAAACTATAAGTTATGACCTAACAGTATGACAGTATCAAAATGATCATTTGAAAAACCACCCCCTTTTTCTTTTTCAAACCGCTACTTACCTGGAGAACCAACCTTTACATTTTCCATGAAACTAATAGCTTTGATGGCATTCAGAAGTCTAAAATAATTCAGCTGTCATACGTCAAAATCAATTCATGCAGTATGTAAAAAAAAAAAATTCTTTAGGTTTTGGCGGGGGCTACAAAACTAAGCAGATGAAGTCAGCTTATTGCAATCCAAGTAGGAGAGCACAATATTGAAGCTTCGCAACTGCAACATTCATCATTTAAAGTGTTTGGTTGGAAGGTAAACTGAGTCTGGCCTCTCGCCTCTCCTCCCTCTCTATGTCTGCGCTAAAAATAGACTGCGTGATTGTAAAAACAGCCCCAAATCCTCTCGTGGGCCATTTCCATGTCTCTGGGTTAAATGTCAAAACCCAACATGTTTTTACGTCGGCTCTTGCGACCCGGAGCAATGTCAAAGTCAAAGACTCCCTCGACGCACGCCGACTTCCGCACAAGCCTCGCAGAGCTCCGCACCAGCGATGGAAATGCTGGCGCTGCTTTCCGAGTCGAGGGTGCCAAGCTGAAAATATTCCGCAATAAATCTGAGGTCAGCGTTGTTACGGCCCCCTCAGCTCAGTCAAGACGGGATTAATTTTTCTCCAGTGTGCCTGACTGAGGAAATCTGGCAGCATTTTATCCACGAGTTGACAGATCGACGCCTTCACGGCGGGGAGGAGAAAATTTAATCCGTGTTACCTGAGGTGCGGCCTTACGGCGGGTGAGACTGACACAACGTCAAACTAGGTATGTTCCTTAGAAATGTGGCGCAGAGATACTCATCTAGTATCAAAATGGGAAACAACTGCAATGTTTGCCATGATTTTCGGACGACTAAAGAAAACTTTTCCGCTTTTTCCCCCTGTCTGCAGCTAACAATGAGACGTGTACAAGGCATAACCAATAGCAAATGGCGCTTCGGTTAGCGTAGCTAAACGACCAATATGTCTGCCGGCAATGCATTGTGGGTAAATCCAGGAGCTCAAAGCATCTCATGCATGACACTATACTGGAGATGGTTTGCTTCGATTGCTAAAATGCATGTTAGGTGAATATATGAATTTTCTTTTATGAAATCAGAGAGGCAGAAGGTGCAAAATAACAATCATGGTGTCTAAGAAAGTGAAAATGAATTTGAGCAATGTCTTCAAGACCATTAACAGAACTGGTAAGTGGGAGCTTATCAATTTTCCAGCTTTTAATAAATCAATCCCGAGGCCGGTTCAGCTGCAGGGCTCGGCACCCATCGCTACTCATAATCCGAAAAACACACGAAATAAATCTCGAAAACTGACGTCTGAAATCCAAGCGGACGTCGGCCATCTCCAATTGAAGTAGACATTTAGGGGAGAATTCCAGGGCTCGTAGTTTGACAAACAAAAGTTGGCCCGAATGAGAACCTAATTGGAAACAGTTCTCCAACACAGATGCCTGATGCTATTTTAGCAATCTTTTTGGCCTTCTCCAGCTAAACTGGGCGGAGCATGGTGTCAAAGGCCGTTGATCATTTTCAGGATTTCACTGCTGCTCTCACTTTGTATGTTACCATTTGTAGTTGTATTGTTTGACCTTGGTTGAGATCTGTGTTATTCGCTCTTATTGTGTGACATATTGCGTAAGTGTTGAGTCTTTAAATAAAACAAAGCCTCACCTGTTTTTGCTCGAATTTCCTATCAAGGTTGTTGCGAGTACAAAGCACGAGGGACAAAAACCAAAAAAGAAAAAGAGGATTTCCTCGTCTGATCAACACGATAAAATGTTATGCAATTGTTGAAAGCGGCTGTAAATAAAGACACTGAAAGTCATGGCCCTGGCATAGAGCAATGGCCATTTGAAGATAACAGACCACGGAGGAATCCCGATGCTGCCATATTTGGGAAAAAGACGAAGACAAAAGGAAAAACTCATGACAGCTGCTTTTCCAAAACACTGACAAATACCGCGATAGACTTTGCACAGACAACGGCAGGAAGGAAGTGTGAACAAAATTCTGAGCGAGAATCTTGACAGAGGGACTTCCCTTGCTCGTGAGCACGCGGCGATTAAAAGAAAAATAAAATAAAGAGTCGACAGAGGCTGAGGAGGAAACCGGGCAAAAAGAAACAGTGTGTCAAAACAGATGGCAGCTGCTAAAGAAGATTAGGAGCAGCACCACCACTTCTGACTAACCAACCCCCTCATTTTAAGACACACACACACACACACACACACACAAACACGTGCAATGGCAGCACACAGCTCCGACTGTTTCCGCTAATCCCACCCCGAAAAGACCCCAACCTTTGTGTCTCGTCCAACTGCCCTTCTTTGGTGTATCACATAAAGTGCAGTGGCATTCGACACCACGTGACACAGCTGTTCTCAAACTTTTGAAGCCACACACACACACGCACACACATGCACACACAAAGATTTCCAAATAAAGTACAGAAGTGCTGTTTATAGTCTCAGTCACATTTTTTTGATTTTTGTCTCAAACAAAGCACACAAATAAAAACCTCATAGCGGGAGGGAAAACAATGGAGGAAAGGAAAAAAAAAGAAAAAGAAAAATGGCACACTATGATAAAGTGCAAGTTCGAGAAAGGGCGGAAGGAAGCAAAGCTTATCAAGCCAAGAATTATCATCTCATTCAACTTCAGGATCCAAATGAAAAGAAACAAAGTTATGGGAAAAGTGCAGTGAAATAAGTTTAGAGCTGTATCTTACTTGAGTACAACTAAAATTCAGTTGGGCCGGACTTTTTTTTCATGCTTTCCCCAAATCATCTCATTCATCAACCCGATTTCGGGGCCTGATCTGGCCTGCGGGGCCCTACGTTTACCACCCCTCATCTAAAGCCGCTCGAGATTATCAAAGTTTATCAAGTCAGCCTGTGATTCGCTCATGGCATTGAGGCAATGTCAAATAAATCTTACGAAAGCATTGCTGAGTAGCCGAGCTACTTGTAGGAAGGGAGCCGGGTCGAGGATGTGCCGTCAGCTATCTATGCTAGCTCATGTCATCGCTACAGTGTTGAACTATACCCAACTTGCTCGAGGCCCCCTCCACCCCCCAATAAAAAACAAAAATCCGGATGTACAGCGATCAAAGATATATTGTGATACGTGGTCAAATACAAATGTGGGAAGCTAGCATAGATATAGTTTGTACGCTTTGAGAGAAAGTTTATGCTTGTTCGAGAAACAGCCTTGCTAATCTGGGGGGCACTGTGATGCTCGGACATCCATTGTAAAAAACAAACAAACAAACCAAAAAAAAGAACAATTGTTGCAGGGACACCATGGGTCGACTTGGTCAGCTGATCGTTTTATTTATCATTAGCATTGACACCAGATGCAATCTACTGTTTTCACGTGATATCACAGAAGACGCATTTTGACTTGTAAAGAGTGGAAATGATCAAATGCATTCATAAAACTTCTTACAAGCAGTGTTATTATGTATGACCGGGAGAGAAAGAGAGACAGAGAAAGAGAGAGAGAGAGAGAGAGAGAGAGAGAGAGAGAGAGAGAGAGAGAGAGAGAGGGGG